AAGAAACGGAATCAAAGACTTTTCAAAGTCAATCAAAGTCCAAAAATATTATATCAATATTATTACCAGCTTCTATTTTACTTGTTATAAAATCTAAAGTCTCTAATAAATTAGAACAACAATTTTTACCATTAACAAATCCGTGCTGTTCACTTGCTATTAACTTATTTAAAGCTAAATGATTCATCATAACATTGTGAATAATTTTCTCCATAACCTTGCATACTATTGATGTTATTGATATCGGTCGATAGTTTGAAGGATCTAACTTATCTCTTTTCTTGAATAGTGGAGTTATGTTTGCAGCTAACCATTCGTTTGGTATAACACCACTATAAAATGACATTTTAAAGATCAGTGATAAGTAATAAGAAAGTGATTTTGAACATTCTTTGAGAACACTAGGATGAACTTTATTAACACAAATTGTTTTATTAACATTAAGGTTTACTAACTGATATTCAACATCATTGTCATTAAAACTTGGAGCGCTACAATAAAAATTACATTTTGAAGGAAAAGTTACATGTTCTAATACCTCATCTTTTAAAAATACTGAAACAAAATACTCGTTTAAACAATTTGCAATATTTACTTCTTTTGTTACAATTGTACCATCAAAAGTTTTGAGTGCTTTGATTGAATTTTTTATACTTATCTTACTATTTAAATATGCGTAGACTCTTTTAGGGTTTTTCTTTGAGTTTTTAGATTTAATTCAAAAGCTCTTATATATCTTTTTTAACTCTTTTTTTTTTTACATTTTTGTTCAATATTTTATAGTTGTTTATTATGTCAGTTTTTTAAAATCTTGAATGCCTGCATTTATACCATAACTTTTTCTTTAACTTAATCATTTTTCGAAGCTCTTTAGTCATCCATGGAGCATATTTTTTACTTATGTCATAATTTATAATTGGAATAAATTTACTGCATCCAGTATGATATATATTTAGCCATTTTTTATAAGCTTGACTAGCATTTAAATCTTTAAACTCATTTTCCTAATCAAAACTTGAAAAATATTTTGAAAGTTCTTTATAATTTCCTTTAACATATAATAATTTTGTTTTTTTCTTTGGTTTTTGATCAATATTGTTGCTTTTATGATAATATTTGCGGTAGTGGTGTAGTGGTAGAGCGCTCGCTTCATAAACGAGTGGTTCGGAGTTCGATCCCCACCACGTCCCTGGTGTAGTACCGCGCTCAACTCGCTTCTCTGCGCAGCGGCCTTGTTCGTCAAGGTTCGTGTTTCGGAGTTATAGAGTTGAGAGAGGGTTATAGCCACAAAATAAGTAGCCTGCTCGTCTGTAGTGGCCTTCTCGGCCTTGAGGAGGTGAAGTATAATAAAAAAAATTAAAAAAAAATTTGAAATTCAATATATGGTGTCCATGTTCAATTCCACTTAAGGGAGGTAAGTGATTCAATGAAAAAACCCGATTTCTATTTTCTGTTAGGACCAAGTCTAATAAATTTGTGTCAAACCCAAAGCTGACTTGAAATGTTGGCAACAAGACATTTTGATATAAGAAGCAATCATTTAGAAGTTCTATAAATTTTAAGGAGGTCAAATCTGAATCATTTTCAAGTTTACATGAACCATCGTTGAACCATTTTATATTTGAAAAATTGAAATCTCCACAAATTAGAATTCCTGTGTATTTACATTTTTCCAAGCTTTATAAGCATGTCGAATAGATTTAGTTATTTTCTGGCAACTTGATATATCACCAGCACCTGTTCCATATATACATCCACATAAGATATTTTCCATGCCAATCTCAACTAAACACCATATTTGTTCAATGGCATTGTCAACTAAACAGTTTTCAGTCACAGGGTAAGATTTTATTTTATTTTTTATGTATATACAAACTCCTCCACCTCTAATATTTCCACGATCTTTTCTAAACAAGTTAAAACCTTCAATATTTGTTGCTGAGTTATCATTCCACCAGGTTTCACAAAGCATAATAATATTTATATTATTATGCTTTGTGAAATTATTATTTCACAAAGCATAATATATTTATTTAATTAATCCCGCCGGTGGGAGGCAAATATTTCCGCCTCCTACTGGTGGGAGGCAAGTATTTCCGCCTTCTACAAATATTTCCGTCTCCTACCGGTGGGAGGCAAATATTTCCGCTTCCTACCGGTGGGAGGCAAATATTTCCGACTCCTACCGGTGGGAGGCAAATATTTCCGCCTCCTACCGGTGGAAGGCAAATATTTCCGCCTCCCACCGGCGGATGTAATGAAAAATAATTTACATTACATTTTACAAAAACAGTTTACATTAAAGCAATTAAATTTTGCATTAAATTAACTAGAAAGAAATGTTTAATATTTGACATCAAGTTTATTTTATACAATTATTTGCAAAAGTTTTGAGTATTTAAAAAAACTCGAACTTTTTTTTTAAACTAATAAATTTAGTAGAATAAATTAGTAGTTTTATTATTCAAAACAAAAGTTAAAAGTTAGAAATTTTACTTCTTTGCCATTGGCGAATAAATCTTTTTATACAAAAAAAAATTATAATAAGTAATTAAATTGAATGATTTCGATCAAAGTTTTTTAGAACAAGTCAACATGCTAAGATTTTTTTATCTATTTTATCATATGCCATAACGTTAAATACTTATTTTTGTTAATTGGATAATATAAAAGTTATTGAAAATATATCTGTTAATGTTTATTAAAAAATAATATTGATATAATATTTTTGGACTTTGATTGACTTTGAAAAGTCTTTGATTCCGTTTCTTTATAAAAATTTGCTGTATTGCGCTAATAGTTTTGCCAAATTATAACAAAAAATAAAATAGAATTTATAAACTTGAAGTATATATATACTTTTATAAATATTATTTATAGTTTTAAAACCTTTAAAAATATAGAGTCATCTACTTTTAGACGTTTTAAATATTTAAACGATTAAAAGCTTAAAACATTTAAAAGTTAAAAATATATTCGATAGTCCCAAAAAAACAACCGCCTTAACAAAATTATAATTTTTTTTTCAAAATTTTGTTAAATAGTCAATAAATCACATAAAACAAAACTTTGATATCAAATATTTAACACCTGTTCTCAATTAATATTTAACTGCTTGTTAACTTAAAGACAAACGTGCAATTATTTTTTATTACAGCCGCCTGCGGGAGGCAAATATTTCCGCCTCCAATTTGGCGGCCGCAGCTAGCTGGGAGGCAGAAACTATTGGAGGCGGCCTCCAAGTGGTTTTGCCTCCAAAATTTTTTCTGGAGGCGGCCACCATTGGCCTTCTCTTTCTCTCGGTCTCCAAAACATTTTGCCTCCAATAGAATGGCGGAAGCCACTGGGTGCGGAGGAAAGAAAATTTTGACGCTAAAACATTAATTTGGAGGCAGCCACCGTCTGCTGCGGAAGAAAAGTGGAGGCAAGATTATTTTCGTCGTTTATCTTGGAAACTCAAAACAAGCAAAAAAAAAAAAAAAAAAACACTTCGCTTGCCTTGCTTTTTTTTACTCAAAATGCATTTTTTTTCCTTTTTTCTTAATTATGTTTTTAAAATAATATTAAATCTTTTTTCGCATAATATTTGCAACCTTGTTGTGCGACTATTTCTACAAAATAAAAATTAAAAGCGGGTTTTAGATCGTTCAAGTGGGAGAATATTAACTCAAATGTGTTGACATAAAAACATGTAGTTCTATGAACATGCTTTTTTACAATCGCCGTCATGTTCTTGGTGCTTTTAACATGCTTTTTTACAATCGCCGTCATGTTCTTGGTGCTTTTGAACAATCTGACTCAATGTGCGTTCTCTTACTCAACTTAATTTTCCCTGCAAGTTTGTTAAGGTTCGCGTATTGAAAGCCATAAGTTTAAACGTATTAAAAGAATACTAATAATATTAAAAAATAATTAAATCTTTCTTTGCTATAAAGGTACTCCTGACCATGGGAGTTGAATATAAAAAAATCATGGTGGTGAAATTAATTATTTTTTAATTTTTTTCAAATAGATATCAATTCCATGAAACGTTCCATTCCATCTTTTCTCGATCATTTTAATAAGTTTTTCTTTTACATGGCTGTGTTCGCTGACGCAGTCATTTTGTTGAATTGCTCGAATTGCGTTAAGTTTATTATCTCTTAATTGTTCTACAACATCTAATAAATACTCTTTAGATAAATTAAACCCTTTTGGTTTAAAAGCAAAATCAACAATATCTTTTGGTTTCAATTTGGACAATTCTGCTTTTTTGTAATTCAACTTAAGCGCCATTTCTTTAAATCGTTCATAATAAGCTGACGCAACTACATCATACATTGGAGTAAGACAAAGCGAACCCTCTGGTTCATGAAACATTGCAAAGTTTTTCAAATGAGCATCTAAATTAAAAGTATAAAATGCTTATTTAAAATATTTCTAAATTTTTTTATATGATAAAAATTAAGAAAATAAAAAAATTCACAACCTGTATTTCCAATCAAAATGAATGCCAAGATCCTTCTGAAAAGTTTCAAAAGTTCATTTAAATTGCAACGATTCAACTTTATATTTTGGTGAATAAAGACTGCCATTTCATCGTAAGACGATTCATACTTATTTTCGGATGAAAGATTTAATAGCTGATTAAATTCTTCAAAATGACGTCGCTTTATGTTTTCATTGTTTATTGAACTTGAAGTATAATTCGATTCTACAGATCTATCAAATCTTTCTATAATCAATGCTTTTTCATTAAAATTGTCAATGTTACTTATTTCTAAACCACAGACAACATCATCTGGAAGAATATGCTTAACTGCCAAGCTGCTTAAGTATTCTAACTCAATTAAATCTGGAAACTTGTTGACCTCCATTTTTGCAATATGCGTACTTAATTCGTTAGCACAAGTTACTTCAAATAGTCCGCTGTAGTTTTTTTTAACTAAAAGTTTTTTTTGAACGCCAGGTATAGTTGCAGTACTTTCAATGTTTACTGTAGTACCCTGTGGGACGCCTAAATAAAGTTGTTCATTGTTAATTGAATAGTTGAAATATGGTCTTTTCTGCATTGGTTTTTCACTTTTTATGGAAACTGATCCTAAAAGGTCGTGCCCAAAAAAGCATAAAATTGAGAATTTATCAACATCTTTTATTCCAACTTGTTTAAGCGCTTCGTATTGCATGTCGCGGAGCCACCCTTCAGATATTAAATTTTCAAAATATGAAAATAAGTTAGGTCGAGATTCAAATTTGTCTTTACAAAGCGGCAAATTAAAAGACAATGTTGCGTTGTTATTATTTATGTAGTCGATATCGTATTGAAATGAATATTGAAAACTTGAACTGTTGAGCTGATCTTTAATTAATTTGCCGGCATATTTGTTGTTGTAATAAACTCTCAGTGTTTCTTGAGCCATACTGTTTAAATCTAATCAAATTGTATTAGCTACTCTAAAAAGTATAAATATATTATTATTACTTTTTTTGTTAATGTTACTGTTACTCTTATCAATATTGTTATAATTATCGTTATTATCTGTTTATGAAGGAAAATCTAAAAAGAAAATTAAAAGTATTTTTTATTCTTTTTGAAATTTTTATATATATTATATATATATATATATATATATATATATATATATATATATATATATATATATATATAGGTATTGTGGTTTATCCTCCTCCGGCTAGTTGCCATACAGAGGCCACATTACCAAGACCCGCAAAGACAAGTGCGGCTCCCCAAGGAGCGTCATAACCTGCTCTACGGACCAAGAGTAAGTGAATTTGGGAAGAACGAAGATATGTTATAGTGAAAGACAGAAAAAGTCGAGTTAGAAAGATAGCATAGAGATAGCGGACAGGATTGCACACGATATTAGAAGGTGCAATACGTTACTATACACTTAATTGGCTTAAGCCAAATAATGTATGAAACATATATATATAAATATATATAAATATATATATATATATATATATATATATATATATATATATATATATATATATATATATATATATATATATATATATATATATATATATATATATATATGTATATATATATATATATATATAGGTATTGTGGTTTATCCTCCTCCAGCTAATTACCATACGGAGGCCACATTACCAAGGACCGCAAAGACAAGTTCAGCTAATAAATAGCGTCATTACCAGCTAATAAATAGCGTCATTACCTTGCTCTACGGACCAAGAGTAAAGTGAGTTTAGGAAGAACAATGAATGTTAGAGTTAAAGACAGAAGAAGTCGTGTTAGAAAGATAGCATACAGAAAGCGGACAGGATTGCACACGATGTTAGAAGGTGCAATATGTTACTATACACGTAAATGGCTTAAGCCAAATAATGTATGCAATATATATATATATATATATATATATATATATATATATATATATATATATATATATATATATATATATATATATATATATATATATATATATATATATATATATATATATTTGTAAATAAAAACTTACCGTTTGCGGTAACAAAAAAACGGCTTTTAAAGATTTTGTCTTTAAAAGTGACAAAATCAAGTACACAGTAATGAAAAGCCATTAAAATTTATTTGAGGAAACTAATTAAACTTTGTCGTTTTTTTAAAAAACCTCAAAAACGCAACTAAATAGACTGGAATGTTTTTTTTTTTTTTAATAAAAATAAAAACAATCTGAATGTTTTAACTTTTATTTATTTTTACTCTTTTTACATACATCGAATAATAAATAGGTATATAATGCGAGGAGTGGTGCTACATCTAAAAAACACTTTTAAGCAGCCGTGGCGTAAAAGCACTTTTGAACATGCGTGGTTCGCCTTTGCGTGGTTTTGAGCAGTCATGGTTAAGATTTCATAAAAACACTTTTAAGCAGCCGTGGCACAATGGTTGCGCACTTGCCTCAGAAACAAAGGATCCGTGGTTCAAACCCCACCTCTGGGCACGCTTTGCGACATCGGTTAGGAAGGAGGCGTGAACTCCAATTAAGTGCTCATCCGCGGTACTCTGTGATATATATATATATATATATATATATATATATATATATATATATACATAAATATATATATATATATATATATATATATATATATATATATAAATATATATATATATATATATATATAAATATATATAAATATATATATATATATATATATATATATATATATATATATATATATATATATATATATATATATATATATATATATATATATATATATATATATATATATATATATATATATAGATATAAACACATATAAGGTTAGAACTATTGTAATTGTAATGAAAACAATAACAGTAACAATAACTACTGTTATTGTATTAACTTAATTTAGAAAAAATAACAAAACTTGTGATTTACAACTATTGTAATACTGTAATACAATAACAATAAATATTGTATTGCAATTCATCTTTATAAAATAATACCAACCTCTGAAAAAAAAATGTAATGTAATGACCCACTACAATAACAATAAATTTTGTAAATGTAATTCGTCTTTATAATACAATAACAATATATTGTTATTGTAATAAAAAAAATTATTTTAGCGTCAAAATTCAATAAACAGTCCAGTCTCCGAGATATGTGACCTTGAAATAGGTTAAAACTAATATATAAGTATTGATTCTGTTTCTATTTTATTTACTGAATATCACTTGTCCTCGTTGTAAACTTTATATAGCTCTATAAAAGTGAGTTTAATTGGGCCTGTATTTCTTTTACTGCTGGGGATTCCCATAATTAATTACTACCTTTCCTTCTACTAAGTTATTTATTTACATTAGGCACTTATCCAATTGTTTCGAAACTTACTCAACTCACACTTACTCTAATATAACTTTGTCTTTTGTTTCCCTTAGGCTTTATAGCTGTATGTGTTTCATAAAATAACTATAGATCTAGTTGCAAAGTTATAAAAGAATTTTGTTACACACATCAAGAACAATATTTCTTTGGTATTCTAAACTGCCTCATTTTTCTGGTACGGACTGATAGGTGATGAACAATCAAAAAGTATGAATTTTTTTTTTAACAAAACAAAAGTAGTTGACAATCTAATCAATAATTACCCAGGTCAGTGGTTCTCTGATTCCTCAATGCTGTAATTTATTACACATTAGCGGTTAGATATATTGAAAAAAAAAATTCTTTTCACGCGCTTAATGTAGTTAATCAATTAGTTTAGACGTCATCATCCGGTGAGACATGTCAATATCAGTTAGACAAAATTATAAAAAAATAAAAATATTCTCTTCCTAAAGTAAATAATTATTTAATTACAAGCATATGATAAGTTATATATTTGTATGTTTTTAAATGAATATTATTAATGTTATATCTAAATAAATTATTACTTAAACAACTATATTATTAAACTAAAAATAAACAAATTTATATATGCAAATGGATGCTAGAAAATTTCGCATCTTTATCTTCCGTAATAGAATTGTTGTTGCGAAAGTTGCACATGCGAAAAAGCACATTCCGTACTGCACTATACGAAAATATAAATAAATAAAATTCCGTAATAAAGCTTACGAAACAAATTATTTCTTAAGAATACTTACGAAATAGTTCCTGACGGAAGAAGCTTTCCGAAATGTGCAGTTACGAAAAAGACGCAAAAGATTTTATATAACGATATATTTAAGATATTCTTAACTATATCGTAAAGATATTCTTAAATATAATATAAAGAAATTGCAATAATTCGTATAGAGCTGAAAATTGGTACATACCTTGAGTACATTAATACAAATAAAGTGTTAAAAGTCCCTGTCGATCCCATTTCTGCAAAAAAAGTTATTTAAGGTTAAAGTTATAGAAAAAAGTTGTTTTTTTAAAAAAAAAAAAAAGAAATGTTTAAACATAAAAATAGATCAAACAAATGCGAAGTGCATTTTAACGCTTTTTTGAATAAACTGTTTTAGCGGCTTTTCTCTGATCTTGTATAAGAACAATGAAAAATGATTTTTTTAAAATAATTTTTAAACTGATTTTTCTCGTCTGACTTCCAAAAATTCTTAGAACAATGTTACGAACGATGAAATACTTTTAGTGTTGAAGATTCTATTGCAGTAAATAGTACCAAGTAGTATTTTTATTTGTAGTAAACTTTTATTTGTTTTATTTGTAGTAACTTTTTATTTGTTTTATTTGTAGTAAACTTTTAACAGTAAGTGAAATTGTAGTTGTTGATCGTGGAATGAAGACTTTGATTGATACGAGTGTTAAAAGAAGTGACGGTTTTTATGAATACCTGAAAGATCTGAAGTCTGTGACGATTCATGTGGTGTGCCGTAAAAAGTATACTCGGAAAAGTACTATTGCGCAATAGTCTTATAAATGCAGCAATAAACGCAATAGTCTTATAAATGCAGCAATTGCTGCATTTATAAGACAGCAAGATATAGATCAAGTCAGCACATCTGAAAATAGTCCACCTACCAGAGCGCGCGTAAGTGAATTACTTTTTTGTTTTAAAAAATGTTGCTTAATTTGCGGAGATGAAGCGAACGAAAAGTCCGAGAAGAAGAAAGCGATAAAAGTTCGGCGTAAAATTCATAAAGTTGCTACTCTTGAATTTAAAGAATCAATTCTAAAGGTAGCATGGAGTTGTTCTGACGAGGAAGCAAAAAAGGTTACTGCACGCATTGAATATCAATTTGATTTAGTTGCTGCTGAGGCTAAATACCATAATACATGTTATAATTCTTTCTTGAGACCAACCAATGGGTGTAAAATCGGTCGTTCTTAAGATGAATCTACAAATGTTGCGATGGAAGAAATATTTAAATACATTGAAAACAGCGATGATTGCCAGTTTTCATTAAAAGAATTGAAAAACATTTGCAAAAATCCACATTTAGACAACAGAACAATTAAGACACGATTAAAGTTGAAGTTCGGTAATAAAATTATCACTGAAAAACCGGGAAAATTAACGTTTATTTATTTTTTGAATAGTCATAGCGATATTCTTACCCAACTTGGTATGAGAAGAAAAGCCAAAATAAAAAAGAAGAACGATTTCGAATTTTAAAAGCTGCGGCAGCAATCATTCGAGAGGACATTCAACCATTAGTATTTGATAATACCAATTATCCCTCGCCTAGTCAAATGTTTAAAGATATTAACAGCGATATTCCAGAGTCATTGATTTATTTTTTAGAGCAAGTTATTTTGAAAAAAAAAAGATCTAAATTAGAACATTTAAAATTAGTGTGTACAAGTATCAGCCACAGCATTATGTCTGCTGTTAGGCCTAGGTCTTTTAAATCAAAATTGCAATTGGGTCTCTCAGTATTTTTCCATCGACGGTTTGGTTCCAAACTTCTTATACAAATCTTTTCGTCTTTTGGTTTATGCGCATCCTACAATCACACTTTAATGTATGAGGCAGCAGCAGTTCTTCACCATCCGCCTTTCATCTTACCACCACAAACTGGCGCATTTATTCAATACGTTGCGGACAATGCTGATATAAATGTAAATAGTTTAGACGGTAATAACTCGCTTCACAAAATGGTTAACTTTCAAATTGTTACCCCAAAAGATTCAGTTTCACAAGAGGATCATATACCAAAATAAAGGAAATCCCTTCTGCAAAAGATTTTGCAGCAAAAGCACATGTGCCAATTCAAATCTATCAAAATGATGGTGTAGTTGGTTATAGTAAAATAAATGTGCAAAATATAGCTTATGAAAGTGAAGCACCAATATCTTTAATCCAAAAAATTGAAGCAATATGGTTCTATGGTAAATGCAGGAATTTATCGTTACCCGGTTGGAACGGTTATATCGAACGTTTAACAAGTAGTATTCAGAATTTTTCTAAGTCTAAAATTTTATTCTTACCGTTTATTAACCAACCAGCAAGTAACTACAGTACAATATACACGAATTTACTTTGTGCTTTAGAAAATGCGAAACATTACGGCCACGAAGTATGCATTATTACTTTCGATCAACCTCTGTATGCAAAAGCTTGAGAAATTTATCTGCAGCACCTGATGGATTTGAATTATCAAAGATCATAATAAGACTTGGAGGATTTCATTTACTAATATCACTTTTTGATTCAATTGGTTATATTATGCAAGGAAGTGGCATACAAGAGGCACTTTTGTTAATTTATGCACCTGAATCGTTAGAAAAAATGCTCAATGGCCATGCTTACGCTAGAGCTGTTAGAGCCCATACATTACTTCAGCTCACTTTAGCTATAATAATTTCAAAAGATCTTGCTATTGATGAGGAGATGTTAGCAAATCTTGATATTACCATTAAGGATGTCATAAATAACAAAGTTTCATATAGTGATATTGAAAGTGGCGTTGATGATGAAATGTTCGATGCATTACTTTAAAAGTTCAATAAAAAATTAAAAGAATTTGAAAAACGAGGACCTACATCAAAACTATGGATACAATATTTTAATATGGTGTCAATTGCAAAGGAGTTTATCAGAGCTGAACGCATGGGAGATTGGCAAGGTTATTTAAACAGTATTAAAGAAATGCTTCCTTATTAGGCATATATAGGTTATTTAAACAGTATTAAAGAAATGCTTCCTTATTTCCACGCATCGGGACATTTTCCTTATGCTAAGTCTGCGCACTTATGTCTACAGGATATGCTACAATTAGAGAAGTTAATGAATTAAAGTGTTTATTAATGGTTTATCAAAGGATTTTTCACTGTTAGACGTTCTGATAAACTCAATTGTGGCACTTCAACGGATATGGTGCTTGAGCAATCAATGATGGAATCAATGAAGATATATGGAGGTATTTTTCAAGGAAGAAGTACAAAAGAAAGTGTTATACGTAAATGGGTTTATGGCATGCATGCAATGAACACTGTATGTGAAGGATTAGAAGATCTTGCTGATATTAGAACGCATGCAACAGATCAGCATGTAGATGCAAGTGATTCACGAATAAAGAAAGATGATAAAGATATTGAAAAACTTCAGCAATGGTTTTAATCACATGATCCTTTTCCTAATATTAAAGAAATTATTTCAATTGCTAGTGGAATGGTTGGTGATAATAAAATCAACTGTCATAATGCTCGTGAAGTTGGGATTGCTTCTATGTCTAAAATGATAGGTGAAACATTTAATAAACATAAAAGTTTATGATGAAAAAGTACCTGTAGATCCAGTATTACTATTTCAACGTATAAGTATTACTAAGACATTTGAGGATGAAATAGAAAAATATTTTGTGTATGAATTAGCCCCCTATCCTTTATCAATGTTTGATGAAACTGGAATGCGTAAAACACAGAAATCAGCTATTTACAATTGCTTTGAATCAGTGGAAATTGAAATTGACAACACAAATGCTAGTTACATCATCGATGGAGGGTATTTATTACACTGCGTTGTGTGGGATCGAGAAGCAACGTTTAACGTTACTTTTGATAAATAGATTCAGTACGTACATAGACATTTTAGTTATAGAATGTCTATAGTAGTATTTGGTGGTTGTACTGATTATAAGAAAAATATTAAAGCTGCAGAACAGCGTCGTCGAACCACAAAAATATCTTCTTCAAATGATGTCATTTTTGATCAATTTATGACAGTTCCAACAAACCAACAACAATTCCTTTCCAATACTTATAACAAATCTCGCTTCATTTTTACGTTATACGATAGATTTACAGCTGCAAATATTATAGTGAATCAAACAGATAATGACGCTGATGTTCTTATAATTGAAACAGCCATAGAACAATCCAATGCAATAAATACTTCTGTTGTTGTTGGTGAAGATGTTGACTTATTGGTATTACTGACTGCACGGACTCCAATTGATAAGACTATTTACTTTTTAAAACCCGGTAAAGCTCATCAACCAACAGAAATATATTCATCAAAAAGTTTATCTGCTTATCCAAAATGTCAAAATCATATCTTATTTTTACATGCAATTACTGGCTGCGATACTACATCAGCATTTTTCAGAAAGGGTAAAACAACCGCATTTAAATTATTTGAAAAACGTGATTTAACTAATTGCGCCGAAGTGTTTCAAAAGATAGACTCTTCACCACAAGACATTGTTACAAACGGGATTTGTTTTCTTCTTGCTTTATATGGAGCTTCAAATAAAATTGATTGTTTAGACAAGTATAGATACCTAACTTTTGTAAAAAACATCGGAATAATAAAAGAGTGCGGTTATCTTGTCTTCCTCCAACATCTGCTTCTTCTTGCCAACATTTGTATCGAGTATATTATCAAGTTCAAGTATGGCTAGGCAATCAATTGGATCCATCAGACTGGGGTTGGAAATTAGTAAATAATACATTAGAGCCGATTGAAACTTTACTCCCACAAGCTCCAGAAAAACTTCTCAATACCATCTTCTGTAATTGCAAAAAGGGTTGTAGTGCAAAATGTAGCTGTAAAAAAGTCGGGTTATTTTGTTTATCAGTGTGTACTAATTGCCGAGGCCAGTCTTGCTCCAATGTTGAATCAAATTCAATAAATGATGATTTTGATGATATCAATGAGGAGACTATTGATGTATTTTTTTCACATATCCAGCTTGAAAAAGCAGATGACTACGAAGAAGAAGAAAGCGAAGAAGATACTAATATATAATATATCATTTAATAATAAATAATATATAAAAATATTATGGTATATTAAAAATTATGGTATATTAATTTCGTAATTTAACAAGAATCGCAATTACTTTTCTAGCATTATATTTTATATAAAATCGAAATATGTTTTCTCGCAATATATTCTTGCAATATCTTCTCGCAATATATTTTTGCAAGAATTGCAATATCTCAGGA